AGAGGAGGAGGAGGAGGAGGAGGAGGAGGAGGAGGAGGAAGAGGAGTGGGAAAGGGAGGAGCAGGAAGAACAGCAATACTTTTCCCAGTTCCTCTCTCAGATGCTCAGGCTGCGGCACCTCAAGAAGCTCTACTTGGAATCTCCCTCCTTCCTCCGAGACTGTCTGGACCAGATGCTTAGGTGCCTGCAGACCCCCTTGGACAAACTCTCCATATGGCTTTGCTGGCAGCTGACACATTCAGATCTGACACACCTGTTCCAGTGCCCGAACCTGAGGCAGCTGAAGTCCCTGCGTCTGTATGCTGCCAACCTCACCAATTTTAGTCCCGAACCCCTCCGAGCTCTGCTGGAGGCAGTGACACCCACCCTCCAGGACCTGCGCCTGGATAACTGTGGGATGGTGGACTCCCAAGTCGAGGCCATCCTGCCTGTCCTGAGCTGCTGTCACCAGCTCAGGGGCTTCACCATCTCTGAGAACCACCTCTCCGTGGCCACCGTAAAGAAGCTGCTGCGCCACACAGCCTGGCTGTGCAGGTTAGAGCTCCAGCTGTACCCCATCCCCCTGGAGTGTTACAGGACCCAAGAGACTGTGGGCCAGGAGAGAGTTGCCTTGATCCGGGCTGAGCTCATGGAGACACTGAGGGAGTTAGGACAACCCAGGACCATCCATCTTGACACCAAGTACTTTAGCTCTAGGGAGTTTTATCTCGTGGCATTTTCATGACATGGAACCCATGATGTGCCCCTGTAGTGACCCTGCTCACCAGGTGCACCTAACAAGGGCCTCCTTCTGGGCCCCTGGAACCTGAAACCTCGGACTGGGGTGCAAGCTGCATGCTGTTCTGAGTAGCATGATGAAATCATTCCTTCGTCCAGCCTACCCACGCTGTGTCAGTGCCCTTCCTGTTAGGCACTCAGTAGCTGTCTCGGTTGTTTGACCAACAACTCACCCTCATTTTACTTCATAATAGCCCTAAAGTGCAGGAGCAGTGGTGCTGCAACTCTACTTCACACTTGTGTTAGGAAATTTCGTTTTTATCCGAAATAAGAGGAAGAAGGGCTGCAGACAATAGCAGCTGCCTCTGGTCCTTCTCTCCACACTCCTTCAAAACTCATACAGAATAAGAGCACATGGGACTACGCCCTGAAAATAACGTGAGGAAAGACAGTCCCAACCTTGACAGTTATTTTAAAAACATCAAATGCGGCTATATTAGACCTCTAAACCCAGTAGGAACACAGACAACATTCAGGGACTCAGAAGCATTCTACTTCTAAAAGGCATTACGGCCAAAAAACCAAGGTCTGCTCTCCAATACCGCACAGCCTTTAGTCCAGAACACCTGAGAATAACTGAAAGACATATTTTAAAAGACCGTGTACCCACATTTTTTAATCCTCACCCGAGGATATTTTTCCCCCCCAATTTTAGAGAGAGTGGGAGGGGAAGAGACAGAAACATTGATGTGAGAGAGACACATCAATTGGTTGCCTCCCACATGCACCCCAACTGGCCTGGGGGGCAGGGATCGGACCCGCAACCAAGGTACATGCCCTTGACCAGGAATCAAACCCAATACCCTCCGGTGCACGCCTCTCCCAGTTAGCTTAGCACCATGAAATCACCCCAGCTATCGTCAATACTGAAAGGCGTGTGGCCCGCCTCTCCGGCGGTGCGGGAGGAGGAGTCTGGCCCCTGGGCTCTGAGATCCCTCCGCGCCCGCCGTAGGGTCTGGTCTCCCCG